TCTAGAGTTCAATTTGTACCTCAACCACCAAACTCATCTCCTGAGGCCCACATACTTCTCAGACTATGACAGTTTCCCTAATACTCCTGTTAGGATGGGAGGGACCATACAACTTAGAGTTGGCTGGGGGAGGATCAAAGGCATCTTCCCATCCAAGATGTCAGATGGTCTATATTCCATTTGATGGGCAATACTGACTTATTTACAATCAATATTTACAATGTCAGGTACTTCACATAAATATTATATTATACTAATACACCCAAATGACCTAATAAAAAAAAATCAGAGGGATTTCACATCTTTTAGTATGACAAACATACGGTACATTTCTGATCATCAGTTGCAAATTTCGGAAATAAAATATATTTACGATGATGTCACAACGTTCTAACTTAAATATATCCCATAGTTAGGGGGGTATCTAACTTAAATATATCCCATAGTTAGGATCAGACTGTAAGGAATCTTATGCACATATTAGAAACAAGTCTCACTGAAGGGAATGTGACTTTCTTTCAAATAACGGCATACTGAAACTGGTGGCAAATGGATTCCACTTTTATTTTTCCCCAATCTATTAGCTTCCATTCATACTTATTTTTAGAAAAAAAACCCTTAAACTTGTTATGAGAAAACTGCAGTTTCACCCATATGATTAAAGACACACGAATGACACTGACAAATAACTGATACTACTAGGAGTACTAGTATACTGAGACAAGATGGGATGAAATTTAATTGGGAATAATTAAAACAAGCCACCAATTTCATTTCTGCTTCACAAAAAGATTTACATGAGAGTAGAGACATACTTCAAAACTGGTAATTTTGGAAACTATGTTCAACATTCTTGTTCAACATGCTTAAATTATGGATTCCACTTATTCTAAGAGAAGATAATGCATAAAAATAGACAGTGTTTATGTTTATTAAAAAGTAAGCAAATTTTGCTATTGTCTTCCACAAGATATGGAAGGCATGACAAATTATTTTAAATGGTCTATAAAGTTTCTAAGCTAACACACAGAAGATCTGGATACCTTGTTAAATATTTATTTGGCCCTGTAACTTGCATTTTAATGGTCTACATGTGAGTTAAAGAAGAATACTATAAGCTTAGTCAATTAGGTCATTTAAGTAAGTTTCATAGGAAAAGTCCTCAATGTCTAGGTGAAAAACATGATTAACACTTTAAATAATTAACACTATCTATAGTCTGCCACCTAGAAGAGTTTAAAGCTGCATACTGAGATGACTGTTAGGCAATTAACATGAACT